ATGGCCGGCGCTTGAGTTCTGGTGGCCAACCGAAGGTGCACTTTTTCAGCTGACCTCTTTGGCAAGTAAACACGATCATTTTGTTTGTTTACAAAACTGCTGGACAACAAATGTTTTCTCATCGGAGAAACCCAAATTCGGCAGTTCACCACTTTCGATGAAGCAAAGCAACTCTCTCTTTTGAGTCTACATTCTTTCTGCTGCAATGTAAGTTCTTACACTTTTTGGAATTTCAATGGCTTCACCCCGAGCTCATTTTTAAATATTTGCCGAATGTTCATGTTCAGCGCACGAGCCATTTTTCGGCCACTGCCACGCGGGTTTCAATCAAGTCGCTTCTGTTCTTTTCCAACCATTTCAGTTGATGTTTTCTTCCGCCCACTTCCTTGACGTCGGGCTACGCTACCAATAACACGGTAATGAGTGACGGTACGAGACAGAAAAGATTTATTCACATTTAAATGCAAACATACGTTTGTAAGGGCCTCATCTTTTTGGCCTAATTGTTTCCAAAAATTACACTATTTAATTTAAAAAATATTAGGCAAAATTTTCCAAATGTTACACAAAATATTCCTCCTAGTTTAATTTTTTACCTCATTGCCAACTCTAATAGAGTTCATACATTACTAACAATAACCAATTGCTCCCGCTTTTGCTTTTGGCGCTACCGCCATTGTTGTTATTTTAATCACAATTGAGTTGTTATTATCTCATCTATGCCTTCTTCGAGTTGATCCATTGCGAAACTCCATCGCTTGCAGCATCCATTCTATTTAGTTTCACACCCTTAGGCAATGACAGGCTGCTGTGTTGAAAATGTCAGTTGCAACATTGCCACCACCACCAGCTCCTCTACCTCCACCATCATCATGTTGTAACAAATTGCATTCTATATTGTGTTAAATTTACATCTTTGAAATATTTGTTGTCAGTGTGTCTAACAACATATCAGCATCAGCTCCGAATATCCAACAAAGGCAACAACCAGAAGAAAAAAACTAAAAATGTGAATATTACATGGCAAGAACATGTGTTGCACTTCATACAGACACACACACGAAAAAGTGGATGCTGTTGTAACTAAATGTTGCATACGCATAGAAATTTACACAGAGGGTTGGAGGGGGTTTGGAGGTTTCTTTTGCATTACATTTAATTTAAATATGCAGTTTATGCCACAAAAAATGTAGTTACCCTTTCATGTCGTAAATTCATTTATCTGTTGACACTGGCCACATTCCTGGGGGAAAAAACTTGGGAATGTGTTGTGCGGTAAATTTATGAGAACGACCACAAACTGATATTGGTATGAAGTGACAATTCCACAATAGCAATGTCATTGATGCAAACAAAATTATTTAGTTTAGGAAAAGTGAAAATACTGTAAGTTCGTAAGTTAAAAAAAAAAAAACAAATAAAAAAGCTGTAAGTTCGGCCGGGCCGAACTTTGAATACCCTCCATCATTTGAAACGAATTTGGCAATTCTCAAAAACAATTAAATCCGTTAAAAATTCTGTTAAAATCTTAAAAATACCGAATGTAGCTATTATATTAGGGTCTATACGACGACATGAACCTGCGTAGATAACATTTGTTATAAGGCATTACAATATTCAAATGCGAAACTAAAAAAAAATCGGTTATAGTGTCGATAAAATCAAAATACCGAATATCGGGAGGTCCTGATATAGGGGGGGCTTTACGAAGAGATGGACCTGCACAGACAATATTCTGTCCTAGGCTGTAGTATCCATTAGGAACTTCAAATAACAAATTTGAAACAATTCTGGTGAAAAAATGTCCATAAAATCATTAAAATACCGAATATGGGGAGGTTCCGTCATATGGGTGCTATACCAAAACGTGCACCTACATGACCCATATTAATACCAAGTCCTGCATGCATAATACACATTTGAGTACAATTTTATCAACCTACGAGACAGAAAATTGTCTGTGCAGGTTCACGTCTTTTATAGCCCCCATATAACGGTACCTATCGATATTCGGTACTTTGATGATTTTAGCGACATTATTCACCGGAATTGTTTAAAATTTGGTATTTGAAGTTCGTAATGGGTACTACAGCCTATGACAGAAAATTGTATGTGCAGGTTCACGTTTTCTATAGCCCCCATAAACGGTACCTTCCGATATTCAGTATTTTGATGATTTTAGCTACATTATTCACCGATTTTTATACCCTACACCACATAGTGGTAAGGGTATTATGTCTTTGTGCATTTGTTTGTAACATGGAGAAGGAAACGAGATAGACCCATAGTTACTTTTGAGAACCTTCATAGAATCACTTTCTGAGTCGATTTATGCATGTCAGTCCGTCTGTCCGTCCGTCCGTCCATCTGTCCATGTATTCTTGTGAGCAAAATGCAGGTCGCATTTATTATCCGATTGAGATGAAATTTTCCAAACAATATTTTTTTGGCCCAAGGACGAACCCTATTGAAATTGGTTCAGATATAGCTATAGCTCCCATATATATCTTTCATCCGATTTGATCTTTAAGTCCCTCACATTCCTACTATGCACTCCACAACCGTGATATTTGGTATCAGGTATTAGATGGAGCACAGAAATAGGTGTTTTAAATTTTATCGAAATCGGTTCCGATTTGGATATAGCTTCCATATATATCTTCATCCGATTTCGGGTTAATTGACCACCAAATGGCCAATATCAGCCCAAATGGCCCGAATTTTGGCACATGTGACCGAGATTAGCCTTAAAGCAAATACAACAAATTTGGAGAAAATCGGTTCAGAAACAGCTATAGCTCCCATATATATGTTTTATCCGATTTGGTGTTTAAGCCTCTCACATTCGTAATATGCACTCCACAAGAATGATATTTGGTACCAGATATAAGATACAGCCTAGAAATAGCTGTTTGTAATTTTATCGAAATCGGTTCAGATTTGGATATAGCTCCCATATATATCTTCATCCGATTTCGGGTTAATTGTGCACGAAATGGCCGATATAAGTCCAAATGGACTAAATTTTCGTACATAAGACCGAATTCAGTCTAGAAGCTAATACGTCAAATTTGGAGAAACCCGGTTCAGAGATAGCTTAAGTTCGTAAAATGCACGATAGAGTTAGATAGATTTTGATTTTGTACCAAATATCTCATAGAGCTCTGAAATGCCCTGTATAAACTTTTTTACGAGAGCTCTACTAAATATGCATAGTGGTGTAGGGTATTATATAGTCGGCCCCGCCCGACTTTTGAGCTTTCCTTACTGGTTTTTTATTCAAGTTTCGCTTTTGAATATTGTATTGGTATATTATAAACAAGTAAGCAAAGGCTGTAGTCGTGCGAGGCCGACCATTTGATACCCTACAACACTACAATATGTTCGAAGTCCCTTTATATGCAAATCCATTTTGGAAAATTTCGTTTTTGAAATAATGCCGAAGAACCCTGCGCAGAGGTTATCCTTAGGGTTTTGAACCGGAGAATTTGGCCAATATTTACGCACTCCGTAGTATTGTGAAGCATTCAAAACAATTGCACACGAAAGTTGTGGTCCATTTTACAGCTAAATATAATCCAATGGTCATCCAAAATGCTAGACTTCTTCTCTGTCCTCAACTCTCTTTCGATGCGAAAGTCCGTATCGATAGTTTTCAACTGTGGCCTATAGAACGACTACAAAATTAGAAAAAATTTAAATTTTTTAGCCATTTAAACCTCTAAATGCACATCCTAAGAACAATAGGCTTCAATTCCGAACCACCCCCATACAAAATTTCGTGAGATCGGACGATAATTGCGACATACATATAATACCCTTAAAACGTAGTGTTAGGGGGTGTAAAAATTTAGAAAATTTTAAGTTCAAAATTGTAAGTCAATTTGAAAAAATCGCGTGCGATAAAAAATATGACAAGAATTGAAAAAATGGAACAAAAAAATATTCACTTTTTTATTGGTACATTTTTCCGCGATTTTCTTAGATTTGCTGCTTTTCTGGCAAAAGGCCATTCCGAATTGATGGGAATTGTGAAAATCGGCCCAGCGGTTCTTGATTTATAAGCTGAATAAATAAGATCAATTCTTTTACATATATATTGTACCCATTTTGCTATGTATCCGATTTCTTGGCTATTAGCATCGCTATAATGGTCAGAAGTGATCTTTTAATGTATTTGTGATTTGTCTGGGGTTGAAAATATTCGCGCTTTAGTGGAAATTTTCCTATGTTCTTACATAAAAATTAGAGTCTATTTTACCCGCTAATTATTGTCCGCCCAAATTGGTAGGTTTCTGCCCACTCATAAACTCTAACTCCATATAAACTTTCGCGTCGATTGGTTCATAATTGTGACCTATAGAGCAACTGCAAAATTAGGAAAATTTTTTTGGTCCATTTCAACCCCTAAATATCGTGCGATCATCTCCAGAAACAAGAGGGTTCTATTGTGACCATAACTCCACCTCCATTTTCAATTTCGTGAGGATCGGTTCATAATTGCGACCTATAGCTTGATTACAAATTAACATGGACAGACGGACAGACGGAAGGAAAATCCATATATACTTTCCTATGTGGGAAACCAATATTTCGAGGTGTTGCATAATTTTTGGTCCAATCAAACTAATAATACCCCCAACGCATAGTGTTGTAGGGTATAAATATCAATTTTTGTGGAAAATTATGTAATACTCTGCGGGCTGCAAAATATTTTGGACCCATTTTTTTAAGTTTGGGCATAATTAGGGCCCAAAATGTCAAATTGCAGTTGATTCAGTTGGTAATTGGGTCTAACTAACACTATGATACCGCAACATGACAGAATACAAGTAAAGAGATGGCGAAATAAATTTTAGTTTTTTTTCTATCCTCAAAATTACTTACCACGAATATAAAAAACATCTACTTTACATAACTAACTAAAATGAATTTTTAGTTTATTAGCTTTTTTGTTATTGTTGATGTAAAAAAATGTATATTTAACCATGTTCATATATTCACTGCACATACATTGTTCTCAATAAAGCGAAGAATTTATAGGAAATTTGTAGGAGCTGAAAAGACACGCACCAGGAATCAGTTAAACATACCCATAGCGAAATAATGTCAGTATCCTTACCTGGGTCATTGTTGCACGAGAGACTGGCACCAGTGTTGTGGCCTTAAGTATGACGGGTTTTTGTGCTCTTTCTGTAATTAATATTAACATTTTTTGACAACACACATCGCTGCTTATCCAATTCTGATTAAAGGCGGCATAAGCAATACTTAGACTCTAGAGAAAAAGAAAGTAAGCTTGATTCGTGTCTACATTGAGAAAAAACTTAATTTATGGCAAGATCACTTTAAAAATGCAGCAAAAGTCCTTAAAACACCTGTATACTGTGGATACCGCTTTATAACAGTGCAGTATCTTTTTAAAAGACGGCGTATAGGCGTTATAGGAAAAATCAATTGATTTGCAAAGTAAAGCCAGGCATAGAAGACACATGTTTCAGCATTTTTAAAACTTACATCGCAAATTATCCCAAATAGAGGAAACAAAATCCCACACCTCCAACATATTTTTCAATTTGATGAATATTCTTGGGTATAGACCATTTCTGTGGAAAAGTGATTCACAAAAGTGATTCACAAAATTCCGCAAATTTCTTTTCATAAAAGTTCGGTGTGGCCTCCATATAATGATAATCAAATTTCAAAGATAAAAAAAACTGCAACAAAGTCAAATGCCATAATTTTGACATTTTTTTGAATGACAAACTTAATATACCCTCCACCATAGTATGGAGGGTATATTAAGTTTGTCATTCCGTTTGTAACACCTCAAAATATACATTTTAGACGAATCATTCTGGATTCGCACAAGATTCTATGACGATTTAGCAATGTCAGTCCGTCTGCGGAAATAACTCTAGCTTCCGAATGAAATGAAGTAAGTTTACAAAATTTTACTCAAATATTTATTATGTCTGCAGGACTTTTGGTATTGAAAATGGGGCATGTAGGTCCACGTATAGCCCCCATATAACGGTACCCCCCCCCCTGATAATCGGTATTTTGATGATTTTAACGATATTATTTACTAGGAACTATTTTAAATTTGGTATTTGAAGTTTGTAATGAATACTACAGCCTATGACAGAAAATTGTCTGTCCAGGTCCACGTCTTCGTATAGCCCACATATAACGGTACCCCCTTCCTGATATTCGGTATTTTGATGATTTTAGCGACATTATTTACCGGAACTATTTCAAATTTGGTATTTCAAGTTCGTAGTGGATACTATAGCCTATGCCAGAAAATTGTCTGTGCAGGTCCACGTTTTATATACCCCCATGGTATCTCCCTATATTCGGTATTTTGATGATGTTTGCTACATTGTAAACAGATTTTTTCAAGTTTCGCATTTGACTATTGTAATGGCAAAAGTTGCCTATGCAGGTCCACGTCATCGTATAGACCCTAATATACGGCTACATTCGGTATTTTTAAGATTTTAACAGAATTTTTAACGGATTTTATTTATTTATTTATTTTTTTTTGAAAATTGCACAATTTTGCACCAAATGGTGGAGGGTATTCAAAGTTCGACCCGGCCGAACTTACAGCTTTTTTACTTGTTTTTTTTTTTTTTAATTTTATTGAATGAAAGCAAAAAATGTCGGAAATAGCTTCAAATTTTGGAATAAGTTTAGATTTGTTCGAATTGGACCCCTTTGGCAAGAATTATGACCTTCAACCCGCCAATAAAACCGTCACACACTGCCCGAAAATTGCTCTGCGGTATTTTAGCCCATTCCCGGTGAAGCGCTTGCTTGAGGTGATCGACAATTAGGTATTTTTTAGTGCCAACCTTGCTTTCCAAAATATTCTAGATTTTGAGAGATTTTGGTAGCCATTGTGCGCTGGAAATGAAATGGGAACCTTATTTTGTAACCATTCTTGGGTGGCGCGGGCTGAGTGCGATGGTGCTGAGACCTGTTAGAAAGTCCAAGGTCTGCGGCCAAAATGTATGCTTGCCCAAGGCTTTAATACACCCTCCAGAAGATTTTCGCGATAATATTCGGCATTTAGTCTGATGCCACGGTCGATTAATACGAGTGGAGAGCGACCATCGGCCTGTTATGGCGGCCCACACCATCACCATGACCGGCGCTTGAGTTCTGGTGGCCAACCGAAGGTGTACATTTTCAGCTGACCTCTTTGGCAAGTAATCACGATCATTTTGTTGGTTTACAAACTGCTGGAGAAAACCAAATTCGGCGGCCGAGCAAAGCAACTCTTAAGATCTTTTGAGTCTATTTTTTTCCGTTGCTGTGTAAGTTGTTGCACTTTTTAGGATTTCAATGGTTTTACCCCTACCTCATTTTTCAATATTTGCCGAATTGAATATTGCGATATGTTCAGCTCTCTTGCCATTTTTCGGCCACTGCTTTTTCACTTTTCGAACCATTTCTGCTGATGTTGCTGTTTTCTTCCGTCCACTTCCTTGACGTTGGGCTACGCTACCAGTATCACGTTAACGAGCGATGGTAGAGACACAAAAGATTTATTCACATTTAAATGCTGGAGTGCTCTAAGTTTAGCCGCTTGTGGTTTTCCAGCTAAATATAAAGAAAGACGCTTGAATTCCATCACGAATAACTTTTTTTCTGGAAAATTCTCACCAAAATGCTATTGTACGCTTGTAAACAATATAATGAGCTGTCACTGTAACAATGTGTCGGACGATTGGCTTAGAAATGACAGCAGTCTGAATTTGGTTACAGTTGTTTCATCCGACCCTGTACATAAAGTGCTGACGTTTACATCAGATTTAGACATTTGACGTCTTCCAGAACCTATGGCATATTTGCAATACTGCGGAAGACACTATAGACTTGAAATGCAAGGATTCCTTGGAATCTTTTCTGAAAATTTTCAAAAAAATGTGGCAGAGGGGGAACTTTTCTCTCTCTACTTAGGTAACTTTTCGATGTGAACTTTAAAAATGCCAGTATATCTTCCTTTATACCCTGAACTACACTGTGGTAAGGGTTTTATGTCTTTCTGCATTTGTTTGTAACCTAGAGAAGGAAACGAGATAGACCCAAAGTTCTCTTTGATGACCTACATAGAATTACATTCACTTGAGGATTTTTGTAGCCATTCTCTTCACAATTCAAAATTAAAATTTCAAATTTTAAACTTGGATTTCGCACTCAATAAACCTTTGTGATTCCAAAAATTTATAAAAATTCAGTTCCCCATATTGGCTTTATTATTTTCATTATTGTTTCACTTACCGCATCTGTCAAAAGCTGACCGAAATGGCAAATTAGGAATCCTTGTGTCAGCATGAGTATTAAAAATAAAACCAATTTCAATAAATTGACGAACGAAGCTCCAATTGACATCTGGAAACCTAAGAAGCACATGACCACAGCTGAGGTGGCAAAATTAACAAACAATGATAAGCCAAATAAGTCATTAATACGTTCCGATAGCCTGTAAAATAAAAACAAAAATTTAGAAAAATTATAAAAAAAAATATCCAATGCCAGAAACTCACTCCAATAAAATACTGTGTTTGAAAACAATGTTTCGCAGAAAATCCATATCAGCAGTGCAGCTCCGCAGCCTATAGTTGCTAACATCCTTAGTTATGGCCTCAAAATGCATTATCAGCTGGCCAATGAAGGCATATAAGAGTAAATCACTTGAAAACTGGGCCACTACCGAAGTATGACCGGCCCAACACTGAATACCATACAGCAGATAATATGACCAATGATTTCCCGTCCAATCCCATGGAGCATACATGAAATACGGTAGGTGTTGTGCTGCATTTTGATCTCCCCGTAATTCGGTGGCAATTAACCATTCAGTTATGGCCTCAAAGTTAAAGAATACCAACATTGCCAAACACATTGTCGAAAACATAATTGAAAAGAATTTCGAATATTTCAAATATTTTCGAACATTTAATTCTCGCTGAACTGCAATCGATGCATTTGGAAATATTTGATTCATATCCCTGGCATAGGTGGTCAGATGCGATTTCTTTTGCATGATAATGCATGTTTTAAAACTTCCCAGTGCCACAAAACCAATGTAGGATAAAGCCATAATCATTTCGAGAAATTCATGACGACCATTCACTGATTCTATGACAAAAACCAATTCGCCGAGTAGCACCAAATTTAAATTTATAAAATTAAGCCAAAAAATCACATCGAATATGAGTTTCTTAAGAGGTTTGGTATTAGGTTTTTCGTAGGCCACAAGACCTATGGTGGCATTCAATGCATTGGCATAACTTAGGAAATCTTCGAAACTGATTAATTTAGACATTTTCCATGGAAGTAAAGTTAACAACTGAAGAAATGTTTGAAAATAGACATAATCAAGTATTCTGGGGAAATAAACCTTATTACTATGGTCCGCCATAAAAAAGTTTGTAAGCAATTGCCACGTGTTTTATGATAGTTTTTTTTATGGGGCATTTCAAAGGCTAACTCTAACTCATAAAAATAGGAAATTCCAGAATAAGTTATTATAAGGTATTTTTTTCAAACTTTTAGATTTTAATTCCTAGTTAAAGAGTAAAAAAGGAGTTATGTTCGGCAAGGCAGAAGTTTTTATACCCTCCTCTATAATATGGAATAATTAGTTCAAACATTTTATCGGCAATGCCAAGTTTCAGAAGAAACATTATAATGTATCGAAAATCCGGAGGTACAGTTATATGGGGTCTATAACAAACATATAACCCATAAAGAGACTTTAGGGTTCAATGAGAACATGAATCGCCAAATTGTAGCTGATTCAGTCGGAATTTTTGACTGAACCTTATAAAATGCCGAACATGGGGAGGTTATGTTATATGGAGCAACTATGGAGACTCCAAAAATATAAATATTCCTGAATATAATAAATTTTTAAGGTAATTTAGCGATGCCCGTCTGTCTATCTGTTGAAATCACGACAGGGTCCACATTATATAATATGGAGCTTTTGGCACAAAGATTTACAGGTTGAGAAAAAAACTGCAATACAGTCAAACGCCATAATTTTTACATTTTTTTTAAATTTTTTTGAATTTAAGAAAAAAATTTTGGAAATAGCATCAAATTTTAGAATAAGTTTAGATTTGTTCGAATAGGTCACCTTTGGCACAAATTATGGACTACAAACGGCCAATGGAATCGTCACATGCTGCTCGAATGCTGCTCTGCGGTATTTTGGTATTTTTTAGTGCCAATCTTGCTTTCCAAAATACTCCAGACACAATAGTCCAACAGATTGGGATCCGGAGATTTTGGTGGCCATTGTGCGAGGAACCTCATTTTGTAACCATTCTTGGGTGGTGCGTGCTGAGTGCTAGTCCTGTTGGAATGTCCAAGATCTGCGGTCAAAATGTTTGCCTGCTCAAGGCTTTATTTTCGGCATTTATTCTGATGACATAGTCGATTAATACGAGCAGAGAGCGACCTTCGGTTGTTATGGTGGCCCACACCATCACAATGGCCGGAGCTTAAGTTCTGATGGTCAACCGAAGGTGCAGATTTTCCGCTGACCTCTTTGGCAAGTAACCACGATCATTTTGTTTGTTTACAAACTGCTGGACATTGAATGTTTTCTCATGGGAGAAAACCGAAAAGAAATGCGGCAGTTCACCACTGTCGGCCAAGCGAAGCAACTCTTTAGCTCTTTTGTTGAGTCTAGTTTCTTTCTGTTGCGGTGTAAGTCCTGGCACGTTTTGAAATCTCAAGGGCTTTACCCCAAGCTCATTTTTCAATATTTGCCGAATGGAATATTTCGATATGTTCAGCCCACTAGCTATTTATCGACCACTGCGAGGTTTCGATCAAGTCACTTATTTACTTTTCGAACCATTTCTGTTGATATTGCTGTTTTCTTCCGTCCACTTCCTTGACGTCGGGCTACGCTACTTGTGGTTTTCCAGCCAAATATAAAGAAATCACACTATCACGCTTGAATTCCATCACGAATAACGTTTTTTTCTGGAAAATTCTCACCAAAATGCTTTTGTGCGCTTGCAAACAATATAGTGAGCTGTCACTGGAATAATTTTAACAGCTGTCGGACTAGTAGCTTAAAAATGACAGCATATCACCCTGTATATTAAAAAAGCAAATGCCCGCTAATTCATATGCGGAATATGGAATTTATGTTAGGAGAATTTTATAAAGACTGGCCTCCAGCTCGCCTACAAAGACGGGCCAAAGTTTATTAATATCATTTTATAAATTAAACGTCTGTTTTCAATGAACATTAATTTTAGATGTCAAGCCATATCACTTTCCCAAATATCAAATTTAATACCATTCAGTACTCTTTTAAAATGTATTTCTAAATCGACCTTCATATATCAATCCTACAACACAAGAAGTGATCCAACTATCAAATTTTAGATTTCCAGCTCTATTTCCACCATAAATACCAAATTTAGAACTATTTAGTACTTTTCGTACTTTTTTGGTACGATTTTCTAAGACAACTCTCGAACCTGATTCCAAATTTCACATTTCAAGCACTTATGCAAAATTTAGTATCATTTAGTATTTTTCGTATAAGTGTAGTACGAATTTCTAAAACCACCTTCTTATATCAACTTTATTTCCCTGACTTGATTCTCATAAAAAGTTTTAAGTTTTTGTCTCTTGTGAATCTAGTGAATTTTACTACTTTTATTTTATTTCCAACACAACATCAAAGACTCTCACTCCAAATGTCAGATTCCCAGCTCTATTCCTTCCCCAACCAAAATCAAAGTTAATACCCATTTCGCGTGGGCATTGATTAATTAGTCACATGGATCTTTTCGGTCCCGTAGGTAACTATTTCCAAAATCACTTCATATTTCAACCCAATACACCAATATTGACTACAATTCAAATTTTAGTACCATTTAGTACCTTTCGCACATAGCCGGTACGTATTTCCAAAACCACCTCCATATCTCAACACAACATATCAATTCCGACCCATTTAGAAATCTACGTAGAATCAGTACTGAGTTTTGAACCATTTATTGCCTTTTGTACTAATTGTACCAAACTTAGTAAACATAAGTACGAACTTCCCAAACCCACATAGCTTAATCTGCCATTCCTAATCTCCAAAATACCTTCATACCTCAATCATGCAATCCAATAGATTTCTTATTTTCACATTTTAGAATTCCAGCTCGGTTCACCACAATTCATATTTGTATCAAATTTTGTACCATTTAGTACACATATATTTACAAATTTCCACAACAACCTGCATCATGTTATCCAAAAAAAAATTTGTTTCCTAATTTCAAGATTCCAGCCCTATCGGCTCACCCAAACCCAAATTGTACCAAATTTATTACCAACAGTTCCCAAATATTCCAATCCTACAATACAACAGTTATCTTATTTCAAAATTTCAGAATTCCAACTCTATTGGTTCTCTCATAATTTAAATCGTAACAATTTAGTACCATTTAGTACACATAAGTACGAATTATTTAGTACTTTTCGTGTACATAAGTAAAAATTACTCCATATCCCAATTCCAGCTCTATCCATTCCACAAATTCAAATTGTACTAAATTTAGTACCGTTTATTACTTTTCATATACACACTTCTACAACTACAACCTTGATTACCATTCCAAGTTTTAGCTCTAACCACATGATACGAAATGGTAGCAAATGTAGTACATTTTAGTACATTTCTGGGCGTTAATGAATCGTTAAGTCAGTAAATGAGCTATATTGTTCCACGTTTAAGTATAGCCCCCATATAACGGTACCTCCATCTTATATGTTGTCTCAGGAACTGCCTTGCTACACGAACTACCGAAGGGTCTCTTAAGCCAATTCATTGACAACTCAGGCTCCCCCAAAAACGGGCTACTGTCTGTAGAGTGAAGAAGTGAGTTCCATCATATGCAGATCATTGTATGATTCTGGCGTCGAATCCTGTTGTTGGTGGCATAAGTGTGAGGCCGATTTTATCTTATTTACATACGAAGAAATGAGAACACGGCTGAAAGATTCCAGTTCGGTAATATTTAATTCCGATAAAGGTCTCAAATCCTCGAAGACACATTCGACGGCAGTTCTAGCTATCTTTGATGAATAGAAAAGGACATTGAAAACTTATTGCCCTCTTATAACAGTATAGATCGGTCGTTGCTGCCCCAGTGTGGACTTCGAATACTGCACTATACAGTGGAAATTAACTAGACCTATAAAACAGCAAAAAAAAAAAATCTGAGAGTTTTTACTAAACTAGAGTTGTTCCGGTGGAGCAAAAAAATTTACTTCCAAAAATCAGTGAAATAATATACCAAAAAACTACAATAATATGATTAGTCTCAGTATTCGTTTGTATTTATTTTTATGCGAACAACTTTTGATACACCAAATAGATTGTTATATATGTATTTGCATAATTTTTATTTTTTTTTATTCCTTTATTTCTTCACATACATGGTTCGGAGCAAAGCGAAAAATTTATAAGACAATTGCATGAGCTATTAAAAAAGGAAAATATTTTTTTATAAAAATTAATAAAAATTCAAGAGTCTTTCTCTTACCTCAGTCATGGTTCCCCGTGAGATCAACACAAGAGTTGTCGCTCTCAGTTGGACCGGTTTTTGTGCACGTTCGGCCATAAGTATCAACATTTTTTGATATCGAACATCGGCAATGGACCAATTTTGATTGTAAACTGCATCGGCTACATTCAAACTCTGAAAGAAAAAAAAATTACCAATTTGAGTCTAAAGCAAACCAGTTCGCGTATGAGATCTCTTCTGGTCATAGAAAAAGTTCTTTGAATGTCAAAATTTATGGTTTGATCTAAATCTTACTCCTTTCGAGAGTTGTCACACGCATAAGCTGGGAAAATGTTTTAGTATTTTTTGGAATTAGAAGTATTGTCGGTATATTATTAAAAATAGAGTGCCCCTAAGCTGTAACCAGTCACTTTAGAAGCACACCATGTTATAAATTTTCAAATATTTAACACAAATTTGAAACTTTTAATGGTGCCGTGATGAAGTTTATAAATTTGAGTCTCAATCCACATGCCCATCTATGTTGAAATGGTATATGGTATTTAATATTCGGTTCGGACGAATATAATTTCTTATTTTTAATGTTCAGTCGAAGATAACATATTCTAAGGAATTTCTATGTTGTCGACTAATTAAAACTATATATTAATGTCAATCTATTTTTCTTTGTGCTAATAAGTTATAATTAGAAGAAGTTTCTAAACATAATTAGCTATTAATTGTTTCCATCGAAAAATTTTTAGTTTTCTAAAAATCCTGCTGTTAGGGATTACGATCGAGGCAAATGTAAAAATAATATGAAAAAATTAGCTTGGTTATAAGTATAAATATTTAGATCTTTTAAAATTATCCAGCAAAAATATTCATTAGTAGTAACTATATTTTGGAAATGAAAAGTCTATTAATTAACTTTTTTCTTACCCTCAGCGATATGGCAACAGAGTGTATGTATCATTTGATACGACCAAAACTTGTCTCATCGAAAAAATTTCACACATCGCAATACTTCTATCAACACAATATCAGGTGTGAAGATTGAATATGTCGGACCACTTCTTTTGGTTCCTCCTACACATCACATAAAAATGTTGAATAATTACATCTCCGTTATATGCGAAATAAGGTTCCGAATTTCTTCAAATTTCACATATCCCAATATTTTTACTAACGCAAGATCTGGTTAGAAGTTGATTTATATCGGACAACACCTTCTGGTATCTTTCCCACAGAGGGCAATACAATTCAATTCTTTCAATTATTTTAACTCTTTTAACTTGAGGAACTAGTCGGCGATTGTCATATCTACTTATTACAACCTCCACCATTCTACTTTGCCATTCTTGTTAGTCCCTACAAAGTATATATATATATATATATATATATATATATATATATATATATATATATATATATATATTCTTGATCAGCATAAAATTAATTAAATTAATATAAAAAGCAGCCGAACTTCAAGTGCCCTACACCATTTGGAAGAAACTCGAAAATTTTTATGAAAACCGTTATGTGGGGGCTATATATATATATATATATATATATATATATATATATATATATATATATATATATATATATATATATATATATATATATATGTATATATATATATATATATATATATATAGCCCCCACATAACGGTACCTCCCGATATTAGGTATTTTGATGATTTAAGCGACATTATTCATTGGAATTTTTTCAAATTTGGTATTTGAAGTTCGTAATGAATACTACAGCCTATGACAGAAAATTGTGCAGGTTGCAGGTTCACGTCTTCTTATAGCCCCCATATAACGGCACCTCCCTATATTTGGTATTTTGATGATTTTAGCGAACATTATTTATTGGAATTTTTTTCAAATTTGGTATTTGAAGTACAGGGTTGCCCATATTCCATGGACCCACCTGGCAATGCCATAACTTTTGACAGAAATGTCATATCGCTTAATGACATACCGCGTTTGAAGCGTCAGTCCAAGCAGATTTTTACCATGAACCAATGCACGCCACGCGAGCGCTCTGAAATTTACATTCAACAGAAGAAGTCAATTGTGAAAACTCAACGTGCTTTTAAAACATTAAAAATGTGAGAAATGCGCCTTCTAAGAACTCCATTAAGCGTTTATACGAAAATTTTCCGACTGGTAAGGCTCTTTCTAATCCGAAGAGGCCATATAAAAGTCGACCAAGGCGATCGGCCGAGAATATCGCTGCCGTACGAGGCAGTGTTGAGAAGACACCAAGAACATCTCAAAAATGCCGTTCTCAGCAGTTGGGCATGGCTCGGTCCACTTTACAACGAATTATTCGCATTTGTTCCCGTACAAAATTCAATTGACGCAAAGAATGTGGCCTGCGGACAAGCCTCGTCGATTGGAATGGGCCCAAAGGGTCATGGGTCCGTCGAATATGGGCAACCCTGTACGTAATGGATACTGCTGTCTAAGGCAGAAAATTGTCTGTGCAGGTCCACATTTTGGCATAGCCCCCATATAATAGTACCTGTTTATATTGAAGATTGTAGCAACATTATTCACATTTTTTCCAGTTTCGCATTTGAATATTGTTATGGCTTATGACAAAAGTTGACCATGCAGGTATAATGGCTACATTCGGTGTTTTTAAGATTTTAACAGAATTTTTAACAGATTTTATTTTTTGAAAATTGCCAAATTCATACCAAATGGTTGAGGGTATTCAAAGTCCGGCCCGGCCGAGCGTACAGGTTTTTTACTTGTTATATATACACATTTTTTCTCAACCAGAGATCTTATGTGAATATTGAATTTTTCGGCTCACAACTGCTCGTGCCTCCCCCACAAAAGATTTTCATTTGAATTACAATTATTAGCAAAATTTAGATGTCTGATTTTCTTGTTTTGCGCTACACAAATACGGGGTGTAACCAGATGTATAATGAGTATATTAGTTGCACATGGATTGTTTTCTATATTAAGTTCCACTGCTACAATTACTATATATATTGAACTCTTAGAGACTTTCGAAATCATCCTTCCATATAGAAAATAAACTAATTACTGTCAAGTTTTAAAATAAGATATCGACATCTCTAAAAATGGAGAAATGAAAATTAAACTTAAAATAAATAAACTTCAGGGAAAATTGGAAAATGTCTCAATTAATAAAACTTTTTAAGGGTCAAACATAAATGGAATTAAAAAGGGGTGAGTTCAATTTCCAATACTGTACTTATTATTTTATGCTTCTGTTTAAAAATCGCTTTAGTCCTGGGTGTAGAGTATTTCAAATAAGTTATTTGTCCAGATAAAAGAAGTTGAATTAGTCCAAAATGTGAATTAAAAAAAATCATTTTATTTTTGTGGAAATAAGGTGAGTCATGAATTGAAATAAATTTATCAAAAAAAAAAAAAAAAAAACGCACGCTTTGAGTATAACGGTGCCAGAAAAAAAATATTTAAAAATTCACGTTTGTGGTACTGTTGGTGGTTTGAAAAATTCTATAAAATTCTGCTCATATGGATATATGGTGGTCATCGATACAATTTATGACCAACCTCACACTTTTATATTTTGCAGTGTACCGAACATTTTTAAACTTTTTAATTCTTATGTTCAATTAAAAGATCGTCACTTTCTGGCACTAAAACATGTTTTATGACAAAAAATTGAATTTTGGATTTGTAATTAGTTTATCAATTACAATTTCACAAATTGTTATCTTAAACATGTTTTACAAGAGCTAATTTGTAAACAATTAAAAAAATCATTAAGTTCAATGCCAGAAAATAAAATAATCTGGACTCAAAATGAAGTCTGACGTCCTACAGCTGTTAAAATTATTCCAGTGACAGCTCATTATATTGTGTACAAGCGTACAGAAGCATTTTGGTGCGAATTTTCCAGAAAAAAGTTATTCGTGATGGAATTCAAGCGTGATAGTGTGATTTCTTTATATTTGGCTGGATAACCACAAGCAGCTATCGTTAGAGCACTCCAGCATTTAAATGTGAATAAATCTTTTGTGTCTAGTACCATCGCTTGTTACGTGATACTTGTAGCGTAGTCCGACGTCAAGGAAGTGGTCGGAAGAAAACAATAACATCAGCAGGTAAAGAAGCCACTTGATCGAAACCCGCGTGGCAATGGCTGAAAAATAGCTCGTGAGCTGAACATATCGCAATATTCCATTCGGCAAATATTGAAAGATGAGCTCGGGGTAAAGCATCTAAAAAGTGCAAGAACTTGCACCGCAACAGAAAGAAAATAGACTCAAAAGAGGTAAAGAGTTGCTTCGCTTGGCGGAAAGTGGTGCACTGCTGAATTTAGTTTTCTCCGATGAGAAAACATTTGTTGTCCAGCAGTTTGTAAACAAACAAAATGATCGTGTTTACTTGCCAAAGAGGTCAGCTGAAAATGTATACGGTTTCATTGGCCGAAATTCGTGCTAAAGGTGACCAATTCGAACAAATCTAAACTTATTCTAAAATTTGATGCTATATCCGTCCTCTTTCGTTTTCATTCGATAAATTTAAAAAAAAAAAATGTAAGAATTATGGCGTTTGACTTTGTTGCAGTTTTTTTGTGTCACTCTTTATATTCACCACCGAGAAGAAGGTGATTGTTATCAAAAATAATTATGAGTGATGAGGCCCATTTTCATCTTAGCGCGTACGTAAATAAGCAACATTTACGCTCCTGGGTCACTGAAAATCCGGGTGTAACCTACGAAAAGCCATTACTACCGCTCAAAGTCACTCTATGGTGAGCTGTTTACGCTTTAGGGTCATCGGTCATTTTTTCTTCGAAGACGTCGACTTCTAAGACTATCTATATGCTGAAGGATGCATTTCCCGGGCGCCTAATCTCCCTTTTTGAAGATTTGCACTGGCAAGTAAGATTATCTTATTTGACAACAAGCCTCAGACTCTTTCAGCTCTTAAAGACAATATCCGTTAAGATAGTGAAGTTTTGGCCAAGGTGATGGAAAATGTCATAAAAGCGCTTAAATGACAATAAACTGTGGTCATATTCTCGACCTGATGTAAAACAAGTAAAAAGATGCAAGTTCGGCCAGGCCGAACTTTGATTACCCTCCACCATTTGGAACGAATTTGGCAATTTTCAAAAACCATAAAATCCGTCAAAAATGCTGTTAAAATCTTAAAAATACCGAGTGTAGCTATTATATAAGGTTCTATACGACGACATGAGCCTGCGTAGGTAACATTTGTCATAAGCTATTAAAATATTCAAATGCGAAACTTAAAAAAAATCGGTTATAATGTCGATAAAATCAAAATACCGAATATCTTGAGGTACCGTTATATGGGGGCTATACGAAGACGTGGACTTGCACAGACAATTATCTGTTATAGGCTATAGTATCCATAACGTACTTCAAATATCAAATTTGAAACAATTCTGGTGAGAAATGTCCCTAAAATCATTAAAATACAGAATATCGGGAGATACCGTTATATGGGGGCTTTACGAAGAGATAGACCTGCACAGATAATTTTCTGTTTTAGGCTGTAGTATTCATAATGAACTTTAAATACCCAATTTGAAACAATTCCGGTGAATAAATTCGCTAAAATCATCAAAATACCTAATATCGGGAGGTACCGTTATACGGAGGCTATACGAAGACGTAGACCTACATGGCCCATTTTCAATACCAAAAGTCCTGCTGACATAATATACATTTGAGCAAAATTTTATCAATCTACTTCAATTCGTTCGGAAGCTAGAGTGATTTCCACAGACGGATAGACGGACGGACATCGCTAAATCGACATAGAATTTTATGAATATATATACTTTGTGAGGTCTAAAATGTGTATTTCGAGGTGTTACAAATGGAATGACAAATTTAATATTATACCCTCCACCATAGTATGGAGGGTATAATAAAATGATTCTAAAGGAATCTTAATTCTAAAATTTCAAAAAAAGGTTAAAGAGGGAGAAACTTGAAGGAAACTTTTAAAACAGCGATACACGTGTTTTCTATTTTTTAGCTCCACTGTCATAATCTGCGGGATTTTTTCTGTAATTATAGAAAACATTGAATTTTATTGTACAGTGTTACTGAAGCGTGGCGTGGCAGCGTGGCTTTTTCGAAAATAATTTTTAAAGACATTTGCAACGTGGATTTATTAAAAATAATTTTTAAAGGCTTTTACCAACGTGGATTTTTTGGAAATAATTTTTTAAAGACCATCAGCAAAGTGCATTTTTTAAAAATTAAACTTTTTTGAAATCCCAATTTTACTGAAGTTCTCCGGAGCTAAAGTTGTGTATTTTACTCAGTTATTTCCTAATGTAATTTGTATACTTAACTTACCGCATCCATTAACATTTGACTGTAGTGACAAATCAAATAGACTTGAGCTGTCGATGAGAAAAGGAAAAGAAACAATTTAACGAGGGTATCCGGTTCCACGCCAATGGTCATTTGAAAGCCGACAAAGCAAATAACAAACGAAGAAGCTGAGAAGTTCAGCAGCAGCGGTAAACTAAAGACGCTGGCCAGTTGTTCACTTAAACTGGAAGCAGGAGGAGACAATTTTCGCAAAATTAAAGATTGACAAAAATCCAAAAAAAAAAAAAACTTACTCCAACAAACATTTATGATAGACAATAATGTCCTTCAGAAATGCCATATCTTTTGAGAGACCCACCTGCCTATTTTTGGCTTGGTCAATCTTTACCTTGTAATTCGTCAAAACATGCGAGATATTATGAAAATGCATTATTATCTGAGTGACAAATCCACACAAGAGTATATCACTGGCAATTTGTCCTGCCGCCGAGGTATAGCCAGCAAAGGCATGCATGAAATACAATAGGTAGTAGGACCAATGACCCTGCCAATCCCACCAATTGTACGTGTAATAGGGTAACTGTTGTCCCACAACGCGACTTTTCAGCAATTTTTCATACAGCACATATTGGGTTATGGCATAGAGGTTATAGGTCCAAATCAATATCATATAGAGTAGGGCAAAGAAGATGGTCACCCTACTGTATTGCCTTAAATAGCTCGCAAGATTGCAACTTTTTTGTAATTTAACTTCTTGTGGAAAAATTGAGACGAGACGTTTTACAAATTCACTTAGAATTGGTTTCTTAAGAAAAACGAAAAACATTTTCGACTCGCCGACAATCACAAAGCCGATGTAGGACAAACACATTATGGCCTCAAGGATATTTTCACCACGCACAAATGCCACGGCCACGTAGACCATTTCCATGGAGAGCAGATAATTTAAATTAATCACTCCCGAATAGAATATCAGATTTGCAGCAAATGATTTGGATTTTTTCACTTCCACACCCGGTTCATTGTAGGGTTCTATGCCAATGGTGGTGTAGAAAAACCGCGACAACTTGAAAAAATCATCGAATTTTGCGGCGTTGCTCATTGTCCTTAGCAAAACTACTATGGCTGAGATACTAACTTTTCAACAGTTTTTTTTGATCCACTTTTAATGATTTTATTAATGTATGACTTTTTAGAAGGACATTCCAATTATTTTGGTTTCAATTGCTGTCTGTGTTTCAATAACCTCAATGTCCTAATAATAGCCATAATTATATGTTTGTTTGTTTGTTTTTTTTTTTTTTTTTTTTTTTTTTTTGGTATTCACCAAAACACCCTCCATAAAGCTTTTATTGCTAGGATTTGGTTTTTTAAATATTGAGTTTGAGTTCTTTTGTTGACAGTTTAAGGTATCCTTAATGGGCGTTAACAATTCAACATTCTTGAAAATATTATTTAAGCAATTACATGTTTTTTTTAGAAGGAGAGTTTCATTTCTTTAGACGTACTATCTGTATTAAATTTACTGTATTTTTTTAAGAAATTTAGAAATAAACTATGTATAATAGGATGAGCCGAAATAAAAAGTCAATAAAAGCAATTTCATAAGAAAACTCTCTTCGACAAAACTGGCAGAAATTCGGCGGGGCCGAACTTTGAATACCCTCCACAATTTGGAAAAAAATTAGCAATTTTCAAAAAAAAAAAAAAAAAAAAATATTAAAAAAATAAATTAATTAATTAAATAAATAAAAAAAATAAAATCCGTTCAAAAGTCTGTTAAAATCTTAAATAGGGTAAGTGTGCCTAAGTTCGGCATGTCCCAGTAGTCGGCAGTTTTGAAATTTAAACTTAAATAACTAAGAATAGAATTGACCAAATAATGAAATAATTGCAAAAAAAACTTCAACAGTGTTCTCTGCTCTCTTTCTGTAAAAAAAAAAAACAATGAGCTCCGATCATTTATTACGAGAGAATAACGGTTTTCGTCAGTGAGTGTCTTCTAACGCGTGCGATAGTGCATGTTTGTAAAAAAAAATAATGCTGGCGTCAACTTAATAATCGATTTAAGTAAATTAAATTTAATACTTTTGGAATCAGAAATATTTAATAATAGTAAATAGAAGATCACTTTTATAACTTAAAAACATACAAATCAAGCATTTTTCTGTTATATTATTTATCAGGAACAGAAAAAAAAGAGATTTGCCAGTAGTCGGCAGGGGGTGCCCATTACTAGAAAAATATCATTTTTCACCAATTTCACCAAAACTTGAGAAAAGTATTAAAAATAATCCAAAAACTACTCAAATAAATATATAATTTTTAGTCGGCAGTTGCTTTTATTTGTGCTTTTTGACAAACTTTTCTAAATTAAATAGGTTTTTTAAATCAGCTATTTGACGTTTTAGATAACGGTGGTATTTTTTAAAAAAATGTTGCCTATCTAAAGGGAAGAGATCAATTCACAAATTCCAAATATAAGAAAGGTACTTTTTTCTTTTTTTTATCTCATTTTTATTTTAATTGAAAATCCATACGTTACTGAAAGTAACCATACTATTCTTGATTTTCTACCTATATTTGGTTTAAAATGATAATTAAGTGAAACACTATTTAAAAACGAAATTAATTTCAAATTCTGGATTAAACTGTGAATTAGTAATATATCATTGTTTTATACTATTTGAAATAAAAAAAATATACAAAATAATATTTTTGTTACTGAAATACCATATGCCGACTTCTGGCAAATAGACATGCCGAGCATTGGAAAATGGTGCCGACTACTGGCAAAAAACTACTATTTTAGAAAAATTGCAAATGTTGCCAATTTAATAAAAACAAATTCAATTTTTGTTTATTATTTCGAAAACTAAACAAAATTTGGAATCTGAACAACTTTTTTTTTCTGCAATTGAAAGATTTCACTCAGAATGCTGAAAAATTGAAAAATCGAAAATCCTAAAAGTGCTGACCACTGGTACACTTACCCTATACCAAATGCAGCCGTATGTATAGACGACGAGGACGTGCATAGGCAACTTTTGTCATAAGCCATTACAATATGCAAATGAAAAATTGAAAAAAAAAATAGGTTGATGGGAGGTACCATTATATGGAGGCTATACCAAAATGTGGACCTACATAGAACATTTTCTGTCATAGGCTGTAGTATCCATAGCGAATTTCAAATACAAAATTTAAAACAAAATGCGTTTAATAATGTCCCTAAAATCATTAAAATACCGAATATTGGGAGGTACCGTGATATGGGGGCTATAGGAAGACGTGAACCTGCACAGATAATTTTCTTTCATGGGCTGTACTATCCATTACGAGCTTCAAATACCAAATTTGAAACAATTCTGGTGAATAATGTCGCTAAAATCATCAAAATATCGAATATCGAGAAGTGCCGTTATATGAGGGCTATAAGAAAGACGAACAATTTTCTGTCATAGGCTGTAGTAGCCAATACGAACTTCAAATGCCAAATTTGAAACAATTCCGGTGAATAATGTCGCCGAAATCATCAAAATGCTGAATATCAGGAGGTACCGTTATATTAGGGCTATACGAAGACGTGGACCTACATGGCCCATTTTTAATATCAAAAGTCCTGCAGACATAATATACATTGGAGTAAAATTTTAACAAACTTCTTTATTTCGTTCTGAAGCTAGAGTGATCTCCACAGAAGGACGGACATCGATAAATCGACATAGAATGTTATGCTAATCAAGAAAATATATACTAAAATACTCTAAAATCTATATTTCGAGGTGTTACAAACGGAATGACAAACATCTACATCAAACTATCTACATCTCTCCATCATAGACACAAAAATTGTTCCAAAATTAGAACCATTTAATAATTTTCCAGCAATTATTGTACGCATGTACCCACAGTGACATTCATATCAGATTTGGGGATTCCAGCCATCACTCAATAAGAAGGTTAGTAAAGTGTAGTACTTTTCGTGCAAATATAGTACTCATATCGGAAATCTCCTCCGAATTTCGAGATTCCAGTTCTATCCTTTCACCTAATACCGAATTTGGTACCACTGAGTACTTTTCAAACTATTATAGTACACGTTTCCAAAACCACTTACAGATCTTAATTCCAGATACCAACGGAGGACTCAATACAAATTTTCAGAACTCTATCCCTTCACCCAATATCAAAGGTAGTGCCATTAATCTTATTCGAACAATTATAGCAGGCAATTCCAAAACCACTTACAGACCTTCATTCTAGATACCAACAGAGACCTAATATCAATTTTTATAATTTCAGTCTCTTTCATTAACCTAATACCAAATTTAGTACTATTTAGTACTTTTGGTACAAATATAGTACACATTTCTCTAGCTACCTCAATATTAAATTTCAAGACTTCAGCTTATTTCTTCAACTAATACCAAATTTAGTACTTTTTGAAAAATTCCAAAACCACCTTCATATCCCGATCCCACATACCAACAGAGACCTGATTTCGGATTCCAGCTTTACCCCTTCACCCAATACCCAATTTAGTACCGCTTAGTACTTTTCGTACAAATATAGTACACGTATCCAATAGAAGAAACCAACAGTGATCTGAATATAAAATTTAAGAATTTCAGGTCTATTCTACCATTAAATACCAAATTTAGTACAATTTGGGGTTTTCCGAACAATTACAGGGTGAGATGAAAAAACTGCAACCAACTTCAGACTGCCGTCATTTCCAAGCCACTCGTCCGACAGCTGTTAAAATTATTCCAGGGATAGCATTTTGGTGAGAATTTTCAAGAAAAAAAGTTATTCGTGAGGGAATTCAAGCGTGATAGTGTGATTTCTTTATATTTGGCTGGAAAGCCACAGGCGGCTATCGTTAGTGCACTCCAGCATTTTAATATGAATACATCTTTTGTGTCTTGTACCATCGCTCGTTACCGTGATACTGGTATCGTAGCCCAACGTCAAGGAAGTGGACGGCAGAAAACAGCAACAGCAGAAGAAATGGTGCCAAAAATAAAGAAGCGAATTAATCGAAACCCTCGTCGCAGTGGAAAAATGGCTTGAGATCTGAACATATCGCAATGTTCCATTCGGCAAATATTGAAAAATGAGCTCGAGGTAAAGCCATTGAAATTCCAAAAAGTGCAAGAACTTACACACCAACAGAAAGAAAATAGACTGAAAAGAGCTAAAGAGTTGTTTCGCTTGGCCGAAAGTGGTGAACTGCCGAATTTGGTTTCCTCTGATGAGAAAACATTCGTTGTCCATCCGTGTTTTCTTGCCAAAGAGGTCCGCTGAAAATGTGCACCTTCGGTTGACCACCAGAGCTCAAGCGCCAGTCATGGTGATGGTGTGAGCCGCCATAACAGCATCAGAAAAAAATGCCAAATATTATCGCGAAAATATTCTGGAGCCTAGGGCACGCAAACATTCCAACAGGACTCAGCACGCGCAAAATGAGGTTCCTTGCTTCATTTCCAGCGCACAATGGCCACCAAAATCTCCGGATACCAATCCGTTGGATTATTGTATCTGGAGTATTTTGGAAAGCAAGGATGGCACTAAAAAATATCAAAGTGTCGATCACTTCAGGCAAGCGCTTCGCCGGGAATGGGCCAAAATACCGCAGAGCAACATTCGGGCAGCGTGTGACGGTTTCATTGGCCGTTTGAAGGCCATAACTCGTGCCAAAGGTTACTATTTCTGAAATTTTTTGATTTCATTCAATAAAATTAAAAAAAAAATAAATAAATAAAAATTATGGCTTCTGACTTTGTTGCAGTTTTTTCCCTCACCCTGTATATAGATGACATCTCGAAATTATTTTAATGGACATTTTGTGCTTTTGGATTTTCCTTTAACATTTAAGAGCTTTATACGATTTTTTCACCTATTTTTTAGGAGCTTCTATGCTTGTGGATTTTTTATAATATTCTCAAAATTTTTAAAAATATTTTTCCGAGGGTATTTCATTGTCGTGTATATGAACAATTATATTCGAAGGACATTTCATGAGCCTGGATTTTTAATTTTTTTTACTTACCGCATCAATTAACATTTGACTGTAATGGCAAATCAAATAGACTTGGGCTGTTGATGAGAAGAGAAACAGAAACAATTTGATTAGGGCATCCGGTTCCACACCAATGGTCATTTGAAAGCCCACAAAGCAAATGACAAACGAAGAGGCTGAGAAGTTCAGCAGCAGCGGTAGACTGAAGACACTGTTCAGTTGTTCACTTAACCTGAAGGAAAGAATACAAATCCAAATTACTTAAAATTCCCATTAAAAAATCGGAAAACCTACTCCAGTAAGCAATTATGATATTCAATTATGTCCTTTAGAAATGTAATGTCCTGTGAACGTCCCGCTTGCTTATCTTTGGCTTCATCCACTTTCACCTTGTAGTTCGTCAAGACATGCGAAATATAATGGAAATGCATTATTATTTGAGTGGCAAATCCGCACAACATTATGTCGCTGGCAATTTGCCCTGTCGCCGAGGTATAGCCCGCAAAGGCATGTATAAAATACAATAGATAGTAGGTCCAATGATCATGCCAATCCCACCAGGCATATGTGTAATAGGGTAGCTGTTGTCCCACAACGCGACTTCCCAGCCATTTTTCATAGAGCAAATATTGAGTCATGGCATAGAGGTTATAGGTCCAAATCAATATCATATAGAGTAGGGCAAAGCCAATGGTCACCCTGCTGGATTGCCGCAAATAACTCGAAAGATTGTAGGTTTTTTGTAGTTCGAATTCTTGGGGAAATATTTCCACCAGTCGTTTGACAAATTTACTTAGAATGGGTTTCTTGCGAAAAACGAAAAACATTTTCGACTCCCCGACAATCACAAAGCCAATGTAGGATAGGCACATTATGGCCTCGAGAATATTTTCGCCACGTATAAATGCCACGGCCACGTAGACTATTTCCATGATGAGAACATAGTTCAGATTTATGACTCCCGAGTAGAATATGAAATTTTCTGCAAAAGATTTGGATTTCTTCATTTCAACTCCTGGCTCATCGTAGGGTTCTATGCCAATGGTTCTGTAGAAAAAACTGGCCAACTTGAAAAAGTCATCAAATGTAGCGGCCTTTTTCATTTTTATTTTTTTTGTTACGAAATAATGGCCCAGCGCGTAGCTATTGCCGCTGAAAAACTAACTCATGTGGACTTTTGTAAACTTGATTTTATAGCCACTTTTTCTTTAATGGCTTTATTTATTAATTTATATTTCTTAAAAAGGACATGCCCTTCCTTTGGGTTACAATTCCTGTCTGCCTTTTTGAAAACCACAAATGCCCTGATAATAGCCATAATTATATGTTTACATGCTTGGGCTGGCATCGAGAGGTCTATTATTATACCTTTCTTTACATTTGAAATAATTTTTGATTTTTAAGTTTTTTTTTCATTCGTGCTTTGTGAAATGTAATATTTGTTTTGTTAATGGGCGTTAAAAAATCAACGAACGTTCAATTATTATTCAAATGCGAACACGCATTCATTTTGGAGGGTAGTGGTTTTTTTAGACATATACTACTATTTTACAATAGGATGACTCGAAGAAAATTGCCCATGACGATATTAGAATGGATGTCTATATAAACTTCCATACCTATTGGGTGGAAACCTATTTTGTATGGCTATGGCAGAGCCATCTAGACGTGGATTTATTAAAACAATTTTAAAGCGTTTTACGGGGGCCATTTAGACTTGAATTTTATAAAATTATTTTTAAATCCATGACCATCAAAGTCACGGCCATCTAGGCGTGGATTTTTAAAAAAAATATTTTCAGAGTCATGGCCATCTAGGCGTGAATTTAAAAAAAAATATTTTCACAGCCATGGCCATTTAGGCGTGAATTCTTAAAAAATATTTTTAAAGCCATGGTCATCTAGGCGTGGATTTAAAAATATTTTTAAAGCCATGGTCATCTAGGCGTGGATTTAAAAAAAATTTCAAAGCCATGGCCATCTAGGCGTGGATTTTAAAAAAATATATTTTCAAAGCCATGGCCATCTAGGCGTGGATTTAAAAAAAAAATATTTTCAAAGCCATGGCCATCTAGGCGTGGATTTTAAAAAAAAAATATGTTCAAAGCCATGGCCATCTAGGCGTGGATTTTTAAAAAAAATATTTTCATAGCCATGGCCATCTAGGCGTGGGTTTAAAAAAAAATATTTTCAAAGCCATGGCCATCTAGGCGTGGATTTAAAAAAAAAATATGTTCAAAGCCATGGCCATCTAGGCGTGGATTTTTAAAAAAAATATTTTCATAGCCATGGCCATCTAGGAGTGGGTTTAAAAAAAAATATTTTCAAAGCCATGGCCATCTAGGCATGGATTTTTAAACAAATATTTTCAAAGCCATGGTCATCTAGGCGTGGATTTAAACAAAAAAAAAATTTTAAAGCCATGACCATCTAGGCGTGGATTGTTAAAAATATATTTTCAAAGCCATGGCCATCTAGGCGTGAATTAAAAAAAAAATATTTTCAAAGCCATGGCCATCAAGGCGTGGATTTTTAAAAAAAAATATGTTCAAAGCCATGGCCATCTAGGCGTGGATTTTTAAAAAAAAATATTTTCAAAGTTATGTCCGTTGATGCGAGGATTAAAAAAAAATATTTTCAAAGGCATGGCCATCGAGGTGAGGATTTAACAAAAAAATAGTTCCAATCCAAGGCCATCTAAACGTGGACTTAAATAAAAAACTATTTTCAAAGCCATGACCATCTAGGCGTGGATTTTTAAAAAAATATTTTCAAAGACATCTAGTCGTGGATTTAAAAAAAATATTTTCAAAGACATCTAGGCGTGGATTTTAAAAAAAAATATTTTCAAAGACATCTAGGTGTGGATTTGAAAAAAAAAAAATATTTTCAAAGACATTTAGGCGTGGATTTGAAAAAAAAAAAATATATTTTCAAAGACACTAGGCGTGGATTTAAAAAAAAATATATTTTCAAAGCCATGGCCATGTAGGCGTTGATTTAAAAAAAAAATATTTTCTAAGCCATGGCCATCTAGGCTTGGTTTTTTAAAAAAATATATTTTCAAAGCCATGGCCATCTAGGCGTGGATTTTTAAAAAAATATTTTCAAAGCCATGGCCATCTAGGCGTGGATTTTTAAAAAAATATTTTCAAAGCCATGGCCATCTAGGCGTGGATTTTTAAAAAAATATTTTCAAAGCCATGGCCATCTAGGCGTGGATTTTTAAAAAAATATTTTCAAAGCCATGGCCATCTAGGCGTGGATTTTTAAAAAAAAATATTTTCAAAGCCATGGCCATCTAGGCGTGGATTTTTAAAAAAAATATTTTCAAAGCCATGGCCATCTAGGCGTGGATTTTTAAAAAAATATTTTCAAAGCCATGGCCATCTAGGCGTGGATTTTTAAAAAAAATATTTTCAAAGCCATGGCCATCTAGGCGTGGATTTTTAAAAAAATATTTTCAAAGCCATGGCCATCTAGGCGTGGATTTTTAAAAAAATATTTTCAAAGCCATGGCCATCTAGGCGTGGATTTTTAAAAAAATATTTCAAAGCCATGGCCATCTAGGCGTGGATTTTTAAAAAAATATTTTCAAAGCCATGGCCATCTAGGCGTGGATTTTTAAAAAAATATTTTCAAAGCCATGGCCATCTAGGCATGGATTTTTAAAAAAATATTTTCAAAGCCATGGCCATCTAGGAGGGGATTTTTAAAAATATTTTCAAAGCTTTGGCCATCTAGGCGTGGATTTTTAAAAAAATATTTTCAAAGCCATGGCCATTTAGGAGGGGATTTTTAAAAATATTTTCAAAGCCATCTAGGCAGGAATTTTTAAAAGGCGTGGATTTTAAAAATACTTCCGATCAAAGACCATGTAGGCGTGGGTAAAACAAAAATATTTCCAATGCCATGACCTTCTAGACGTGGATTTCAAAAAAAAAAATATATATATATATTTTCAAAGGCATCGAGGCGTGGATTTAAAAAAAATGCCAAAGTTATCTAGACGTGGATTTTTAGAAACGTTTTCAAGACATGGCCAGATATGCGTAGATTTTAAAAATATTTCCAATCCATGATCTTCTAGTCGTGGACTAAAAGAATATTTATAAAGCCATCTAGGTGTGGATTTTTAAAACTATTTCCATGACCTTCTAGGCATGGATTAAAAAAAAATATTTACAAAGCTATCTAAGTGTGAGTTAAAAAAATTCAAAGCCATCATCATCCACAAGACCAAACTCTCCTTAATAACACAAAATATCGCTTTCTTTATCAAACTTTTCAATATTTCATAATTATCTTTGATTTGATGTCGAATTAAATACTTTCATCCAGAGAATTTGGAGAGTTGTTAAATTTGTTTAAATAACGTCGAACTTTGTTGGCTCGCTGACTGGCTACGATAATGTATGCAAAATGTTTGCAACATCTTTGGTTAGCTACTTTTGGACTTGGGCAAAACTTTTGTTTCTGGCAACTTCATCGTCATTATCGTCATCATTACCATAGACAAGCGTATCATGTATAACGTCATTATGTTGCACTAACGACGGACAGTGGTTAGAACGCGTACGAGTTAAGCTACAACAGAGAGAGAGAGAGAGCAATTAAGAGGTTTTCTAGGGATAGCTGATTATTAACAGGCCTCACAGAGAGAGAGAGAAAGGGAGATGATGTTTAAACGCCTTCAGAAGACCCTCAACAGGTCTTCTATAGACAGAAGACCCCCAACAGGTCTTCCATAGACAGAAGACCCTCAACAGGTATTCTATAGACAGAAGACCTTCAACAGATCTTTTATATATAGAAGACCTTCAACAGGTCTTCCACAGACAGTAGACCCTCAACAGGTCTTCCACAGACAGAAGACTCTCAACAGGTCTTCCACAGACAGAAGACTCTCAACAGGTCTTCCACAGACAGAAGACCCTCAACAGGCCTTCCATAGACAGAATACCCTCAACAGGTCTTCTATAGACTGAGAACCTCAACAGGGTTCTATAGGCAGAAGACGTTTAACAAGTTTTCTTTAGACTGAAGACCTTCAACAGATATTCTATAAAAAGTAGATCTCCAATAGGACTTGTATAGACAAAAGACCGCCAACAGGTCTTCTAATGACAGAAGATCCTCAACAGATAGAAGACCCTAAACAGGTCGTCTATAGAAAGAAGATCTTCAACAGGCCTTCCATTGACAGAAGACCTTCAACATCGTCAACAGTTCTTCTATGGACAGAATTCCTTCTACCTTCAACATCCTCAAGAAGTCTTCTATGGGCAGAAGACCTTCAACAGATCTTCTAAGACAGAAGACCTTCAACAGATCTTCTAAGACAGAAGACCCTTCAGAGGTCTTTTATAGACAAAAGACAGATAGACAGAAGGCCCTCAACTGGTATTCTGTAGACAGAAGACCCTCAGCATGTCATATATAGACAGAAGACCCTCAACAGGTCCTCTATAGACAGAAGACCTTCAACAGATCTTTTATATACAGAAGACCCTCAACAGGTCTTCTAAACACAGAAGACCCTCTACAGGTCTTCCACAGACAGAAGACCCTTAACAGGTCTTCCATAGACAGAAGACCCTCAACAGGTCTTCTATAGGCAGAAGACCTTTAACAGATCTTCTAAGACAGAAGACCCTCCACAGGTCTTCTATAGACAGAAGACAGATAGGTACTCTGTAGACAGAAGACCCTCAGCAGGTCATATATAGACAGAAGACCCTCAATAGGTCTTCTATAGACAGAATACCCTCAACAGGTCTTCTATAGAAAGAAGATCTTCAACAGGCCTTCCATTGACAGAAGACCTTCAACATCCTCAACAGTTTTTCTATGGACAGAATTCCTTCTACCTTCAACATCCTCAAGAAGTCTTCTATGGGCAGAAGACCTTCAACAGATCTTCTAAGACAGAAGACCCTTCAGAGGTCTTTTATAGACAAAAGACAGATAGACAGAAGGTCCTCAACTGGTATTCTGTAGACAGAAGACCCTCAGCATGCCATATATAGACAGAAGACCCTCAACAGGTCCTCTATAGACAGAAGACCTTCAACAGATCTTTTATATACAGAAGACCTTCAACAGGTCTTCTATAGACAGAAGACCCTCAACAGGTCTTCCA